ACAGTAAATGTATTTTAGTGAGAGTGTTAAACATGCCACAGAAGCCAGCACTGAGCGTCTATAAATCTGCATGAGTGCTGTTGCACATAATGCTTTATTTCAAATCCAATTTTAAACTCATAACTGAATCTCATAAGAAATGCTACAACCACATTACATCAAACCCCGGTGGTGGATATGACCAAATAAGCAGATCTCAATACTTGTTTACAAAGAACAAGATGTATATGCTTGGTAAACAGCCATCGTATTTGTTCTTATAGCACATAGAGGAAAAATAAGACAAGTGTTTTTTTACTGGCCTGGTAACAGAATTCAATAAATACACCTGAAAACATCTTAATGCTCAGCCCCTAATGATAAATATGTGACCATCCAGCACACTGAATCTCACATATAAAAAGGGTTTATTAACCCTTTATAGAGACAAGTTTGTTCCACTGAGATCAGAGATATCCTTCACAAGGGAGACATGGCCTAAAATAGCAGCAACACAGAAACAAAAATCTAACAAATAGCTTCAAGATTGCATTAAAATGATCAGCTAGACATCTGTTCACAGGAAGCCTGGACTCAAAGAGATTTCAGAATTTAAAAAACATTCAGAGTTACCAAGTTTTGCAATTAAACATTGGTCTGTAGATTTTTAACAGCGCTATGGGTGCAGAACACCTAAAAGCTTTCCTTCCCAAATAAATTTGTGCTTTTGGGAAAAACTAATTTCACAATGTTCAATGAGTGAAGGCTGTGATTTCCATCCGTTAATACCCAAAGCGAGTAAAGGTAGCCTGGAATTCTGCCCAGAATGGCATCACAAATGCAGCTATACCAATGCCCAAGTTGACGTGTAATTTATAATAGAAAGTACAATAGTGAGTAACAAAACCACATTTTGTATTAAATCATACTACACTATGATACACACTGTCCAGCATATAAATACATGAGCAGAGGCATTTAAAATGAGACCAATAAGTCAGCTCCACAGCTCAACTGGTTCTTCAACCCAACAATAGGTGGTCCTAGTTGTCAGCAAAAGGAAATAACCATCCAGTGATCCAGTTCTTTAGAACACAATGAACTTGATGAGAGACAATGCAGATGTTCATCATCATGCCGATCATGTACTACCCTTTACAAAGTTAGCAAAGCTCATTATGAGGACCTTTGAGTTATTCAGCCATAAGCCAGAATTCAAGCCCTCAGCTTTGGACATGGGTGGATCAGATGGATTTAATTGTGTCAGTTTAAACAAATGTAGTCTCCATGCCTTCAGAATAGTCATAGTCCCCATGCCATCCAACAGCTGGCTTGTGTCAAGAAAGATTCAGGAACTTCAATATACAGTACATCAGAACAGTGGCCCGTAACAGTCCTTAGGCAGACGAAGAAATGGAATAAAAGATGGAGAGACTCGTGGCAGTCAGCGCTGATGAGCAGCTAAGGGTCACTACGCAATTAACAAGAGTAAACCCAACCCACATTCTACTCCCATAGGCTACAGCAATCAATACAACAGTGACATGGAGGAAAAGTGTGCCAATACAAAGTGATATCAAAGTGCACAGTATGTCATCACAACCCTTTATTTAGGAGCACCAGCAGCAACCAACTATGACATAACACCAGGAAGCTAATGAGGTGCTAATTCTGGCACATGTTGGTCACCAACTTTGAGATCTTGGAGAGAAGAGCATGTAGGTTCATCCAGCGACATTACAAGGCCAAGACCAGGCAGGTCCAGTGAATTGTCAGGCCATTCTCAAGCCATCACATTTAACAGGTTGTCAGTGGCAAATAAGACAAAAGTATCACTCAAACCAGTCCCATGCCTACATACTGGACTGATGCATTATCACCCATAGCTGGTTTAGAGTAAATTCAGCGGTTCTTTTCAAGCTATCCAGACTTTGTTTATCCAGAGAGCAGCTAGTTTTCTTCTCCAAGAATAGATTATGTACCAGAGCATCTGAATAGTTTGGACAGCCACAACACTGCACACATATATCCAACACCTCCAAACAAACTGGCCCTTCCAAATGCTAGGCTTTCAAGCTTGCTCCTTAGTTGGCAGGCAGGGATGAGCATTCATATGGAATTTTTAAACCCGATGTCTGGCCCAGTTATTCCACCACCTTTCACATCAACTGAGCTAGATCAATTTGTCATGAAGCTTTGGTTAAGCACTTTGTCAAAGCCTCAAGGTCATCACATGAGCCACAGCACCAATCTTTTTTCTTGAGGCTAAGGTAAGAGTGGATGTTGACGGAACATCTTGAAACTCAACACCTCCCCTTCAAAATCAGATGATCCTACATTTGCAAAACCCCGAGATCAGAACTTTAACACTCTCATGACCAAAGAGGGGGATTTGTTTAAAGTTCCCATCCAAGCTAAGGCATATGATTTAGAGGCTAGAGTACTCTTTAAATCTTTTAGATGCGGTCTGAGCAGGTTGAACAGTAAATACCATAACATGAGGTACAAGGTTGTACTGAACTGTTTATTCCAGCACCATGGAAAGAACTTCAATACCCTCCTCTATCAGGATCCTCTCTTGGCACACCCCTGCTTGCAATACTCCTTAGGTTTTATAAACAAGGTCGCCATCTCTAGTGATAAAATAGCATCGTTTCACAGGTTGAGCGTTCTCCCTAAGGATAAGACTCTTCTTATGGAGTGATCCCTGAAGGAAAAAAATCTGCCCAGTGTGTATAGCTGGCAGATGATCCCAGTTGGTGCCATGAGCAGTCCATGTTGTGCGATACATGCATTGCTGACGCATGATCAGGAATTTGTGAGAAAACCTTTTTATGAGCTTAACCGTCTCCAGCGTTTCCGTTTTGAGGGGGAGATCAAAGTCTAAGGCTTTCACCACGTCTTGGCCATTGAAGGCTTCAATCTCCGACAGTGGGTTAGCAATAACGAATCTCACATCAGCTACTTTCCTGCAGATGGCGGATCAACCAGCAGTGCTAATGCCAAACAGACATATAGACTTAGAAGCACTGCGACAACATCTCAATAAGCAAGCTGAGCATCTGAAATGCTATTGTTAGCATTTTGATGACCTCTGATGCGTGTGGCAGAATTTGCAGTAAGAGTTTCCCTACCTGAAAAACCCAACTGCAATCGTTTATAAGCCTAAACATGACATGTCCCAGAACAAGTAAGACATGTGTTTTGCAACACATCCAGTGCCCACCTGGTCAAATAAAGATCAGATTGGGGACGAAGTCACATTACTTGTAGCAAGAATAAGTGTTGCACCAAAAGAAGCAGCAGACACTTCCACAGCTATAAAACTGTACGCTGTATTATCAGACCATAGCCTTCCCATATACTCTGTTGAGCTGTGGTCTGACTCCATCAGTGTGTTAGCCGAGCTTAATGCTTAATGTAGGTGTTTTTTTAAATCAAGTCTCAGACAAGACCAAGGCATACAATGATGACGTCACTAAAACCTAACATGTAGAACTCCAAGCTTAGCTGAACAAACGCTGAATTTAGTTTCATATTGAATGTGGTCCAAAGTGAGTGCGTGAGTGTGAAGCATTTTTAAGTTCACGCTCGATTTGTCAGTTAATTTGATATTCATAATGATGCTCCACTCAGGCCAAGCTTGTACAAATGGGTATTAGAAGGGTTCATGGCAGAATATGGTTAGCTGTATCTGTTCTGTTGTATTGAAGCATACACTAATCAACAAGTGTAAGTTCTGAGACGACAGTTGACGGTAATAGTGATTCAGTTCATCACATTTTCATTCAGAGTCTGGATGTCATTAACATTAAACATAATTTCTTTACAAAACAATATTGTATTTATCCCACTCGGTTGTATGAGCTACATTTCATATCTGTGACTGCATTGAACAGTTGTGTAAGGAAAAGCCATTCCAGACAGGTCTCACACTGGAAAAACAATTGATGTCTAAAAGAAGCAATCAAATGTCTGTCACTGAGGGAATGGCCCCCTCACAGGAAGACGGGAAATAATAGTTGACAAAAGGGTGTCTCTGGAACTGTTTGACTTTTGCTTTACCAAATGTGAGTGAACTACAAGCTAATTCAGAGGAAAAGAACAGAAGAGTCTCAGCGGTGACACAATCTTGTCAGAATACAAAGGAGGGATAAGTGCACGGCAAACAAAGAAAAGACAATTCAGACGGGCATTTCTTTAGTAAAGCTTGCATGGAGTCATTTTTTGGCTGGCATAATGGCACACATTATCCCCCACAGGAGCAGGGCATCCCCCACTTCTCTGCCCAAGGACTCAAAAGTGATTTAAAGCCCTCCTGCTGACGATAAATACTGTAGCATTATGGCATCGTTTATGTTTTTCACATTAATGAGTATCAGACATTCCTATTTCTGCGTAAAAACCCATACACAACATTAAGAATGATCAATAGGGACGATCTGACGTGCATCCTACAGTCCTTAAGTTCAATTATATCGGAGGTTTTATGGAGTGAAGGTTGAAAAAGAGTGCGTTTTGGCTGTCATGATCATCGGATTGTGATCCGTGGCGAGTTGGTTTTCATCTTTGTTCGCATAGCCTGAGAGCACGGATCCGCGCCGTGGCTCTTTGTTTCTATCTCTGTTTGATCAAGGAAAAATCAGTGCCATATTCATTTTTATAAATTCATATAACTGTTAAACCTTAGAAGATGTGACTGTGGGATCATTAATGCTGCTGCAGAGATTGATGTGGAAAAAGCGCCGTCGCTTCCCTTGAGCGCAAAATCACGCTGCAATTATGCAGAAAAAAATAAGTGTTTCGTTGTCCCACGCAACAGTTAAAATAACCTACCAACACTCGCGAGTCTTTTCAGTAGGCCTATTTATGCATGCGATTACAGCCTGCTTGTGTTTGAACATTACACGCATGGTGTTCTTCACTCTTTGGGAAGTGGGTAAAATAGACTGAGGGGGAGAAAAGATGCAGAACAGACAGAATATCCGATCATAATCCGCCTCCAGCGAGATTTTACTTACAGGCATATGTCATGGAAAAGCTATTCCCCATTTTGACCATATCCACCTGCGGCACCAGTTTGGGGATGTCCTGGTGGTGTGAGAGGGCGAAACGAAAAACCTCATATTCGTGAGATTCTGTTGGGAACAATCCTCCTGTTGAGCAGCAAAGAAACAGGAGTTAATGTCGAACACAGCGGACCCAAGGGAACACCAGGAAAAATACTCAGATCAACAAATGATGAGGGGGGACAAAGTTTAAAACAGAAACAAAAGGTCTGATGCGTGTGCGTAATGCTCACCTATATTGATGTTACTTGGAAAACTTGAGCTTGAACCCAAGCATATCCCCAGTAAACTGGTGTAGAGGATGGTGAGGCTTCGCTGCATATTTCCTTTAGCATTGGCGAAGGGGAAAAAGCCGAAATCCAAGCATAGGTTTGTCCGTGTGTGAAGTTAAATTCCCCGCTCCTTTGCCTCTCCTTTCGCCTCCTGTGTGAGCAGCTTTTTACACCAACATCGGTACAGCAGATAGACGGTGATCGCAATGGCGAGAGGAAGCACCTTTCTCTCTCCTCTTCCCCCTCTCTCTGCTGATGCTCTCGTGTCCTTGGCTGCTGTTGTATGAGACGGAGAATGACTTCAGCATTAGCCGCACTGCAAAAAATATGCCCATCTTGGAGAGCTGTTGATTCTCATCGTCAATTCATCAATATTTTCTTCTCTGTTTTTCCTCTCTGTGGCGCGATGATTTCTCTTGTTTCCTGCCTGCAGGGAAATGTTGATTATTTGAAGAAATGTCTGGAAATTGCCCAAGTTGATGCAACAAGGTAGAAAATAAAAAACGATCTCTCACAAAGGAAGAGATTCGTCTACAATAATAAACTCTCCAATAACAAAATATGTTTTGCGCATCAAAAAAAGTGATTGTTTTGCAGTTGATCAAATGTGTTTTCCAATTTAATAGAAGAAAAATGGAAAACTTCACGTGCATTTCTTCCGTGCATGCATCTCTTGAGGGCAGATGTTTTTTTTTTAAATTTTTTTGCAGTGTACAGCCTCTGAGCGCACCCACAGGTCCCTCAGGAAACGCACAGGATTTCATAGATATCCATTCACTTTCATGCAATGCAAAAAGTATAGCCAATCCACCTTTACCATCGCCAACGTGTTTTAACGTGCTCTCAAGAACAATATGCTCACTTTTCGTGGATTTCTTTGCATCAGTAACAAATTGAACCAGCAGTGATATTAATCATAAGAGGAGTTTATGGGAACAGCTAACTGAAACAAAACGAAGTCATGAAATGTAAAATCTCGTTATACAATCTGATGTGTTTCCATTGTTTTCAAACAATCGGCTGTCAACATTATTTTTTTTAAGCATATGAGGCAAGAAATATTTGAAGACCGGAAAGTTTCAATTACAACTAAAAGAAACATCTTCTGATGGAGACGTCATTATACCAACTGAAAATAAAGAACTAAAGGAAAACTCGGTTGAGGTTGTTTTCTCAGTTGCAGCTTTTACCCAGATATGACAGAATTTTTAACTTCAGTTTTGTTTTCTATTGGAAAGATAACTGAGTATCATTAGTATATACGTGCTCATTCATTGTCAAACATTTGTTTTAAATGGTTTACCCCAAAACCCAAAATGTCCTCAGCCATGTTCATTGTTTCATTTTAAGAAAACATGTTTTATAGAATTAAGACCTGCACAATGATTCATTATGAAACTTAAGGCTGTGAAGTGAAGTCTGAGTGTGTGTTGACAGCATTGTGAGGCTTATAGGAATATTAAAACCTTATCTCAGTGTGTTTGTCATTGATTGACATCTTATGTTTCATAATAATCTCGTTCTATTAGAGTTTAGGCCGTCTATGCACGCAATAATAATAAATATATATGATTAAATAACTTTTAAAAACCTTTTTTGGTTGCTGGCTGTGAAGAGGATGATTCGAGGCCCTGAGACAAAATGATGCTGTCCTCTGCTTGTTGGGAAATAAAATTCAGAATGAGTCACAGAATGATGATGAAATGACCGAAATATCTCCAGAGGATTACAACACTTTGTTTGCCACCTCATGAGGTGTTTTGGATTTGAAATGCAACAACATTTTGAAGAGTTTTAGAACTTTAACAATGGCAGAGTACACTTTGGAAAATTGGCTTATTAACAATGGGGTTTGCTTTTAAACTGTCTTGGTCCAATATTTTTTTTTTTATAAATCTGAATGAGAAAAAAAGACGCTGTGATTAACCCCCCCCCACACACACACACACACACACACACACACACAGTGCAGGACTGGCGAGCAGCTGATAAGGTTGGTTATGATTTAAACCATGTATTTACAGACAGCTACAGCCAATTATTTCCTGAAGAAAAGGTGCATGCCCTGTGCTTCTGTACACACTGCCAAATTAACCGGCATCCACAATATTCACGAGATTGATTGCAAGCCTCACTATGGTGCGATGCCCCGGTGCTTGTTTGGAAAACGAAGTGGTAATCCTGCTTTTGACACAATTAGGATTAAGGATGTGTTCATTTATCGGACCAAGCCAGAGTCTTTTATTTTTTTTTTTTAGTTAAAATCACTTTCCCTACTTATTGTTTCCATAACACAAAGAGGCAGGCATTAAGTCATTTCAGCCTGAAAATGAAATTTACAAGATTAGTACATGAATTACATTTCCAGTGTTTCCAATTAAGATGAAACATTTCTGATAGGAATGATGACTCTTGTTGCAGTGTTTCACACATTTAAGTAATAGCAATAAAAAAAGCAAAAGGTTATCTAATTTATGAACGATGGATGTCCTCTGAATGCAGGCACAATGGTCCATCTTCCTCGCCTTTGTTCAAAATGATGAGGGTTTAGCTCAGACAAAAATGGTTGGATGGTTGGACCGGCTGTCATGACAATACTTCAACTTTCTCACATCTTTTGGTTTTCTCCTCTCTGTGTACAGGAACACAAAGTCTCATGCTAATTATTCAGCAAGTTTTATAATGTTCATTTTTAATTTTGTTTGCCTTTGCAAATACAGATTTCTATTGTTATATCCGTGTGTGTGTGTGTGTGTGTGTGTGTGTGTGTGTGTGTGTGTGTGTGTGTGTGTGTGTGTGTGTGTGTCCCATGTATAATGAATCCAGATTAATGCAATAGATCTTAAAATAGCATTAGTAACTATGGCTAAATCTCCTATCGTGCTAAGCAGTAGAATAACAAACATTCAGCTTGTTATAGGTTAAAAATACCAAAAGACAACATGTAATAAAAGAGAAGTTGTAGGGAATACATCTTTGTTCCAAAAGAAGTCAGATCACACAAAGTGACTGTCTGTCTGGGGGTTTTTTAATAGAAGTTAACGAGAAGAGTATAATGAGGCTAATCCGTCAAAATCTGCTGCTTCCTCTCCAGTCTGAGTGCTGAGGAGAGAAAAAAACAAAAAGACAAACTCGCAGCATGTTTTTCACATAATTGAGTCACTGCACTTGTGTTGTGAGTGCTTGTGTACGTCACACCGCTGGAGGCATAACTATAAAAAAAAGTATATTGCTGCAGAGGTGACAAAGAAAGAAAAGATGTCAAACAGGTCGAGGAGTAGATGTGGACTAAATAACATCAACCTGTCATAGGAAGCTCCTCCAGGGACCACAGGAACTGTTGAGAGTAAAAACAAAGATCCTGTTAGGGATGCTGTACTGTAGCTGGATGACATGGCCTGTTTAGTCACATTCATGTGGGATAAAAACAACAACACAACATATTTGTATAACACTGCTGAAGGTTGCTTACAAAGGTTAAAACATAGCATCATACTCAAACTGGAGCCCAACTGAGGTGTTTAGCTTTTCTTAAGCTTATCATTGGCATTTAAAACTCTCCACATATTCTCAGTACTTCCATAAACCCCCCAAGTTTATATATTCATTTAGTTATTTTAAAGCAGTGATTCTAAACTGGTGGGTCCCGAACCAAAAGTGGGTCGCGTAGATGTTTGTCAGTAGGTCGCGGAGATTTTTCCTTTGAAAAAAACAAGTAGTCTAAATGTGCATGCGCTTTTATTGTGAAGGGTCTTTTGCAGCAGTAGTTAATTCCCACTCCAGTACAGTAGGTGGCGATAATGCACTAATGGTAGGTGACAAAAGCCATTACAAAGCAAAGATGAGGAGCTACAAACTTAATTTGTTTTCACGCTGCTGCTTGTTTATCATAGCGAAACGCAAGTACGACATCGACTACATGGAATATGGATTTTCTAATTTGAAGAGGATATAGTTTCCTCTTCAGTGCTGCCACCTGCTGGTCATTTTGGTTGACAATTAAACCATTGTTTGTTTCTATATAAATTGGCATACTTTAATGTTTTGTCTCAAGTCCAAACTGCTGGCTGGTCATTTAGGGGGTTGATGGGGGTGAGGCCCGAACTCATACCAGTTGAGAAGCAACTGTTTTAAAGCAACACTACACCTGCCTGCCATAACAGGTGCAAGTGGACAACGTTAGCAGTGGGCTAGTATTAGCTAGAAAGCAAAGCATTTCACTAAGAGAAAGACCTTTTTCTAAAGTACAAGAGGAGACCAACAGCTCAGAAAGAAGGTTAATCAAATGATTGCACTTACACTCTTTTTCAGTTATCATTTAACATCACTGATAATCTCGCTCTGTTTCCTGGATGCTAAAGACGGCAACATGATACACAACAACCTCAGAGGACAGGGCTCGCAAGTTGTGTATTAACAGCGGGAATTAGCTCACTGCCCCTCAAGCCAATTCAAAACTTTATTATATCAGTATTTCTGTTTAATTATATGTTATACTAGTCAACATACGCAAACAAAATATGCATTACATTTAACAGTAAAATAGTCAAATAGGCTTATGACATTAGGGTTGACTAATCTTTTTTTCTGCAAAGAATATTCAACATGATCAAAAAAGATGTCAATTATTAATAATTGATAATACTTTCAAAAATGTCTTTACTTGTAGTCTGCAGCCCTAAAGACAAACAGCTAACCCATCTCTTTGTTGTTGAAATTATTTAATAGTAACTTACATTACTACACATTTGTGCACATTGGCTGGTCTGCTCTCTAAAAAATTCTGAAGAAAAAACAAACAAAAAACGATATCCTCTTGGATTGTTCATTATAAGTTTTATCCATGAGATAAGATTTTCCAGTTCAATTGAATAAAATGTGTTTGTTTTTTTTAAAGGCAGACTTAACTGAGTGTGGTATTGTTTTCTATCCTTTGCAAATGATAGACAAGAAGCACAGCAAAACACAATTTTCCAAACAATAGTGTGAGAGTTGTCATCCCATCCCTCTCATTGTGATCCCTCGGCTGTGCAGCAGTGATCAATCTTCGTGTCACACAAAGACATCAGTAATGGATTCTGATGGTTTCTGGCTTGTTACTCTCCTTATCTGCACACTTGGTTGCAGCACTTGATGACTGACAGAAACTGTGAAGGTACACCAGTCTTGACACAAGATCGATAAGGAGCAGACCGGCCTGGACAGTGTGCAGATTTGTGTGCCGTACCTTAATTGGGATGAGTTATTGACGTGTGGCTTAATTAGTCGGCCCCATAATTGATTTAGCAGGTCTGAGAGGGCTCGAGACAGTAGGAACCTTTGAAGCTACTGACAATCTGAAAGTTGTGCTAGAGTCACATGCCATGTGTTTTAGACAGGGGAAAAGGTTTGCTTTGTCCCTGAAGAACAT